TTCACTTGTGCAAGAGATGGGCTCTGTGGCAGAAGGGAAAACAACACATTAGTAGACTGAAATAACAAACATAATACTTAAAGAAATTAGACTGAAGAGGAAACGAAAAAGGAAACATGATAGTCCCTTCAGGTCGGAAGTAATGAAGCCTGAAAAGTCTAACAACACCACATAACAGACGCACAGGGCTCAGGTCCATGTACGGCTCCAGCTTCTTTTTCAGGGGGATTATTTCGTTTTTCAGTGTGCCGACTTCCTGCAGAGAGAAAAATAAGACAGCATGTTTCAAACCCCGAAAGCAGACACGGTAAAGCTTTTATCCCCATGGCGACAACTGTGAGGAAAATGCAGAAGTACCTCAGAAAGCTGCACAATGGCCTGGTGGGTGATAGACTTGTCCATGTTCCTGGATAGAAGCCGAGCCTGCAGGATTTGCAGAGCAGAATAAAATTACATAGAGCAGAGCTGCTTTCACCTGACTATTTAAATGCTGTTTAAGGTCTAAACATGAGGCAGATGATAAAAGTTTCAAACTACATTTTTATCCTCTTTCTAAAGCTGCCATCACAGTTTCTTATCTTGCTATATGTTTGGATAAACTTTAAACTAACACCTGGTCAATCCCTCCTGGAAAGGATCCTACTTGGGTATGAATGTTTTTCCTGGTAAAATTATGTTGTTTTTGTTTTGTTTTTTTAAACACAAATATGATTTAAAAAAACAACATCCAACAGCATCCATACACCAATCAGGCTTTTAGCTAGCAATGTGTACAGGTGTACATTGTATGTGCTTTACTGAAAAAAATGACAAATTGTAAACACTGTTTAGGGATGTGCAGCTTCAGTACGCCCTAATTTCCCCCAGAAAACTTAAGTGTTCAAAATTTTACAAGCAGCAGATGCTAAAGTAAGAGAAATTAGATTTTTTTTGCTGCTGAACACTCCACATCAACCAATCAGAGAAGCTGATCTGGAAGCTGGCAGGGAGAGAAAAACAGCGCTGCTGATAAATAAATAATAAAAAAAATAAATTGAACTTTATTGATCTCACAATGGAGAAATGAACTCTCTGCATTTAACCCATTCCCTTTGGGCAGCAGTGGGCTGCCATCATGGGGCGCCCCGGAAGCTATCAGGGGTTAAGGGTCTTTGCTCAGAGCGCCAGAGTGGCAGTCTGTGGGAGTGGGTTTCGAACTTACAACCAATCTCTATGCCCTAACCACTAGTGTTCACTTTTATTATTCTGGTGCCTGCAGTTTTTACCATATACCTGAAAACCTAACATCTACTTCCAGCCACCGCAAACAGTAATGGAAAATCCCCCAAGAGGCGACCGGCAGAGGCAGCTGTTGCTGTGGATTCCCAATGACAGTGCACCACCAGTATGTGTGGGTCTGAGCTCCTCCGACAGCGGAATAATATGTTATGGCAGGATTTTACTTTTAAAGAACTGTGCGCAGAGGATGTTTTGAGACGGACTTTCTCACTTAAAATTATTCAGTTATCATTAATTATATTAAACTACTCTTTACACACTGATCACAGCAAATATTACAAAGCAGCTGCCATTAAACACAGGAGCAGCAGAAGAATCAGACGCATCTGTACACACTCTACTGACCTTAATGTGTATAGGCATCAAAAATAAAAGAGCAGACGTTTTTTGCTGCTCAATTTGCAGCATTAAATTTTCTGATTGTTTGAATGAACCTATGAAACATAAAGTTGTATCTGAAAATAATCTCATGTCTTACTTATGAAAAAAGTAGTGTTGTAATAACAACAAAATGTTAGCTGCACTCCACCTCAAAATGCAGGAAATAGCATTTCAGAGAGTCTTAATTTCAACACTTTTAGGGGAGGATAGCCCCGGACCCCCACAACACCACGCGAAGCTTAAATATGTGATATACCAAGGTAAACACCCAATGAAATATTCATAGCTAAAAGCCTGACACCAATAGTTATCTGTATAAAGAGCCATCGCCCCACAGCATACCTCTGACCTCTCTAGTCTGTGACTAAGCTCTCGAGCTTTGGCTGTCACAAAGTCCATGTTTAGCAGTCTCTCTTCTGCTTTTGCACTCTCCACTGCCTGGGATTTGGTAGTCTTGTCGATATCCCTGAAAACGAAGACAACCAGTTGCACATGTAAACTTCATCTTCAAGTTGAAACCTACTAATAAACCGAAACTTCTGTCTTCTTACTCTTGTAGGTTTCCCCGCAGCACCAGAGTGGCACCGAGCCTTTTCCGGAGCACCCTGAGTTCTCGCTCGAGTCTTCTGTTTGACTTCTCAGCTTCCAAGAGCTCGCTGGTGAGGTTGTTCACCGCTGGCATGAAGCTGCAGACAAAACTTTAAAATGAAGCAAAGGTGCTTATGTGAATGACCCAGTAAATTACTGAGAGTCTACCTGCTCAGTGACGTGTCTCTCACTCCCAGCACCATAGCACTGTCCACCAGCGCAGACACGTAGTCTGCACTTGCTTTTGACAAGCTTGCCCCAGAGAGACCGACACCTTGTAAAAGGACATCCTGAAGATGAGCAGCTTGGTCAAAGAAAAAAAGAAAACAGGGATCAATAAAGTGCAGTTTTTAGATAACAAGAAAAGGTTTTTTTTTTTTTTATATTTCAGACCTCCATATTTTAAAAGACTACTTTCTGTTTTTGTTCTACTTTCATCAACATACTGGATATTTAAATACAGAAGTTTTACCTTTTACTTCTTATATGGGATTTTTAGTAATTAGGTTGGATTACCGTAAAATAAAAGAGTAACTAGTGGCACCTATCGCTATATTTATTAAACCCTTTGTAGATTTGAAATAAAAAAAAAAGTTTCTTTTTTGGGGTTTATGGCTTAATATATGTGACCTCCACATACGTATACACTCCACATACATATACACTCATAATAGAGTTTATTTCTGCGTAAGCAGAGCAAACTGTTGCTGAAAGCATGACATGTTATGCAGAATTACTGAATGTTGCACAGTTTGTCTTTGCACTTCCAACACACCATGCAAGTGTTTTCTCACTTATCCTGGGTAAAGGATGAAAAACAATTTCTGTTGTGTCACAGAAGGGGAGTCAGCTTGTTGCAAAAACATATCAGAGGCAGTTTAAGCAAAGAGAAAGAAAAACAATTAAGTCAGATCAACAATGTTGCTCGAGTATTTAGGTTCCCTAAAGAGAAAAGCTACAGAATGAAATATCAACGTTTTCTGTTTGATTAGTAAGTGTCTTTGTTTAATTTACATTAAAATAAAGAGAATAGAATACTTGAATTCTCAGAATATTTTCCATTTTTGTTTGTACAGCGTGACTTTATATGTGAACTTTCTATGTTGCAGGTTTTCTAATACATAATGATAATTACTTTTTTCATTGTTAAATTCTAGACATAGCAAGAAGGTTCCGGGTTTGATTCCTGGCTCAGGGTCTTTCTGCATGGAGTTTGCATGCTCTCCCTGTGCATGTATGGGTTCTCTCCGGGTACTCCGGCTTCCTCCCACAGTCCAAAAACATGACTGTTAGGTTAATCAGCTTCTCCAAATTCTCCTTAGGTGTAAGTGTTGGAATGGTTGTCTCTGTGTTGCCCTGTGACAGACTGGTGACCTGTCCAGGGTGTAACCTGCCTCTCGCCCATTGGCAGCTGGAGATTTTAAAGCCTTCTTTTACTTGATGACTTATCACATCATATCTGAGCGTTTGCTATTTGAAGCATTTTCAAGGTAGAACCCTTCTTCGAGTAAACACCTGGACCAAGTGTCCAGGTGTGAAACGTCCTATTTGCAAATGAAAATAGGAATGACTTTGATGCTGAGTTGAATCAAACTGTGCATCATTGTTTTCTGCTCCTAGTGCCTCACCGTCAGCCTGATACTCTGATGTTTTCTGCTTGTAGTCCTCTATGAGCAGAGAAGTATCACTGCAGCGGGCTTCACTGGACTGAGCCAACTGGTACAGTATGTCCACTGTTCTGCTGTTCACCTCGAACTGTGGCACCGGCTGGTCCCCGAACACCGCCCCCAACCAGCTGTTCACCTGCGGGGAAAACATTAACAAAACACATTATCAACTAAGTGACCACCGTGTTAATAGATGTTCACCGAAGACTATAGATTACCTTCTTTATTTTGTCACTCATGATCGCAGGGAAGTGAAGCAAAGCCTAAAAACATCAACGACGTTAAATGTTTTGATGCTAAAGCAACTCCCGGGATAAACAAGGACGGTTTTCGCGCTACTCCAACTAACTTCCTGGGTTTTAACCAATGAGAAGGCAGAGGGACTTCTTCGTCTTTATGGGATTTTATTGGCGGTTGGCACGCAACGAAATAGTGCATTACCGCCACCAACTGGTATGGAGTGCGGATGGCAGAGCGACTGTAGCCAAGATTTTATTTTATAAAATACATTTTACAAGAAAAAACACGCTATATACAATGGAATATAAACATTTTCGCAATTTTAGGAGAAAGCAGAAAACGTATTCGTTCCAAAAAGTTTATCCGGTTCACGTTTCCTCTGAGATAACAAAGATTGTCATGAAGTAAAGATAGTTCCTCCCAGAAGATTTAGAGCTTGAATTTGTTTTTGTTTTTTTTGTTTCTTTCTTTTTTTTTTTTTTTATCTTTTTGCAATTTTGAAAGATAGAAAAAACTCTACAGTTACAAAACTCAAAGTTACTATGTACAAATAGCTTGGCAACGATAGTTTTGGATCATTCGGTTTTTATTTGTGACTTACTTGTACTCAACAATTTGAATAGGGTAATTTTTGTAACTGTTAGAAAAGTCAAAAACATATCTACAATCACGAAGCCTCTATTTTATTTAACTCTACAACTTTAAATTCGCAGTTGCAATGTACAAATAAATATGATTAAAAATTGCCTTGATATAGATATAGTACGCTTTTTGGAAAATAATCGTAGGACAGAAAGACGAAAGCGGAAGTACTTTTAAGATTAACATCTGGATGTTTCCGGATATTTGAACAAACCGCCAAAGTTCGAAAACACACTTCAGCCGAATTTGTGGGGGCTTCGAGAAATGGCAACGAAGAAAAAGTTAAGTGGAAGAATCCAACCAAACATAACTTTTGAAACATCCGGTATCGATTCTTCCGCCGTGGAGGACAAACTCTTCGGGCGATCCGATCACGAAGCAGAGGAGGACGATGATAATCCTGCGGTTTTCTTCTGCGGGAAGTGCAAGCTGCCTGTCGGAGATTCCATGTCCTGGGAAGGAAGTGATGCTGGACCGAAACAAATAAGACTGAAGCGTGAGTCTGTTTAGTAGTAAGATGTATGATGCACCCATGACTCTCTAAGCTGATCAGATGCGATTGGATGCTCTCTGGAATCAATGCAGGAGGTGGGAAACAAGTATCCTAACTAAATTAACATCTCTGTTGGATAATGTCTCCCACCCCGTGCATGAAGCTGCTGCAGAACTGCATAGCTCCTTCAGTGACAGACTGCTGCACCTTAAATGCACCAGGGAGCGTTATCACAGATCCTTCCTCCAAGCAGCTATAAGACTCTATAACCATCACTGTTCCCCAATACCTCATTAAGTTCATGCTGATTTTGCAGTTTCTATCATAGTTAGGTTAAATAACATGCTGCTCTCATTTTGCTGCTATTTTCAAATATCCATTACTGTAAAAATGTCCATAGCTGTATATTGTTTTTCATTCTCAAGATGCACAGTATTTATATTATTAAAACACTTTACAGTGCAGTATTTCAATTGTTTATTTTTCAACTCTTCACTATTATGTTATTCTCTTCATCCTTTGACATGGGAGTTGGAGCTCGTCTGCCTGGCTGTGTGTTTCCTTTTATAGCTGCTTTTTCTATGTCTGCTTCTGTCTCCTTGAACCCCTGTCGGCCTCAGCAGATGGCCGCATACACTGAGCCTGGTTCTGCTAAAGGCTTCTTCCTGTTAAAAGAGAGTTTTTCCTCTCCACTGTCACTACAAGCATGCTTAGTGTGAGGGATTGCATTCGAGTCAATTAGTCGATCCAATCATCTGGCTTTTCTTAAATAGAAAACTTTCAATCAATTTGACTGTATGCTCTGGTGAACTGTAAAGTGCCTTGAGATGACATGTGTTGTGAATTGGCGCTATAGAAATAAACTGAACTGAATTTAATTATTTTTCTTATAAACTTTTTTAAGGTCTGCATTTGTGTGACCATTTTTTGTTTTGCTGCTGTAGACACCAGAATTTAACTATTTATATAGTTAAAATACTTTACAGGATAGTATTTTATTTGTTTATATTTTTTAACTCTTCACTATTATGTTAGTCTTATTTTTTTCTATAATCTTTTTGCTGCTGTAAACACCAGAGTTTCCCCATTGTGACACATTAAAGGGATTTTTGATTCTATTCTATTCAATATTCTGAAAAATCTCTATCTATATCCATCTATCTACTGATCCTTTTAGTTTATTCATCACCTATTCAATCTTTTTCCATCCATTCCATCCATTAACTGTTCCCAGGATTAAAAATTAATAACTGTAAATATTTGTTTGAGATAAAATCTTTTTGAATTCTTCTTTGTTGTGTAGAAGTAGTCTTAAAAGAATTGAAAACTCTGGAAACCTGTCAGGATCTGACTGCTGGACAGGAATCTGATTATTCCCCGATTCAGAATGCCGTATTCAGGATCCATTTGTGGACAGAAACATGATACCAGAGCTAAAACTGAATTGAAAGCAAAAACAAAGTGTTGTATGATTTTAAAAAAGAAACAAAAAAAAACCAAAAAGAAAAAAGAAAAACACAGTTGACCACTGATGATAATCAAGGTCATGTTCTAGTTATGTGGATGCAGAGCTGCAGGACGCTGCTAATATGTTTATTGTTGCTGTTCCAGGTGTTACCAACAATGTCATCGTTGGAAAGGAGACACGCGTACTTGAACTGAGTAAACGTTCGGTTTGGTAAGAAGGTTTATACTTTCTACTTTAACTACATTACTTATGTAATTTAAGTAGAGATACAATGATCCAATACTCTAATCGGATATCGGCTCCGAGTTTCGACTCATTAGCGGGACCAGATATCGGATGAATGACGCCGATCCAGCATTCCCATCCAGTCATTTCTTTCAGATGATTTCAACGCTGATCACATCATCGCACAGATCGCACACAGCAGCTAGAGATGCTTTATATCAGTGATCATTTGTTAACTTTAAACTGGAAAGAAGTTTTTTTTCTAAGGTGCATATTTGTGGGACCATTTTTTCGATAATCTTTTTTCTGCTGTGAACACCAGAATTTCCCCATTATGGAACAATAAGGATTTTCTATTCTATTCCATTCTATTCTATTCTATTCTACCCACATAGCGAGTTTTTATGGTTAATTCCTTCCAGAGTAGTATTGCAATGTGTCAGATATCGGTATCAGATTTAATCAGTAAAAAATGGATCGCTGCATCTCTAATTCTAAAGTGTTCTCCGATTTTGAGGTTTCCTGTATAAAACTCAAGCAAAAAAAAAACCAAATTATTCTTAAAATCAAACATATATCTAAAATTCCCCTTCCTGTCACCAACTTGATGTCTGAAGCTCAACTTCTTAAATCAACCAGTTGAACATGACATAGTTAACTTTTCCAAGCTTTATAGATATTACAGTTGAATGATAACAGAGAATTTAAAACACTTAACTATTATGTATGGGATCTATTAACTTTTAAAAATTTTTAACTATTCCATCTATATGAATTAATTCTATTTATTTTCTTTATTGTTTTATTTTATTTCCCTCCACAGCCTGGTTGTGGATCTTAAATGTCGCAGCTGCCACTCAGTGCTAGGCATGGTCTACACATCCACCCCCAGGAACCTGGACTACAAGAGATTAGGTTTCTTTCTCAATGTAGCCAGCATTGACAGGTACTGTCATTTTCAGTTTACCTTTACTGTGGGAAATAAAGTTGTTTTCAATCCAAACAGCCTGAAGAAGCGATTCAGATCGGGTGGGAGAAAAAAAAAAAAGAAACAACCACAAGGCCCAAACTCTTATGTTATGGCTCTGCAGCGTGGCTGGGTTCATTTAAAGTATGATGTTAAAACCAGTTAGTTTCATAACCCACAGAATCAATTTATCAATCAATATATAAAAAAACTAGCACTTACATGAACACTTAAATTATTTGTTTTTGGTGAAAATAGGTGACAACTAATAATCACTCATCAAAAATACTTGAGTCAAAGCTTAGATAGTGCTGATAGTTTAAAAGCATAAATTCTGCCCTAAAACGTGGAGTTTTTATGACATAGGGTATGAATTTCTATTATTATAAACTAATCCACTTTTTAGGAAGCTAAGGGAAAGGGTTTTTGCATTTTATTTTCAATATCTTATAACTTCAATCTAGGAGAAGAAACAAATTAGGATTATTGAAATAATCAACTAATTTAGTTATCAATTAATCGTTAACTGGAGTATAGAGACTCCAAAGCATGCCTTTAGCTGACAGAGAAACCAACTTAGAGCAGTAATTATATCAAAATTGTTAAAAAATATATAATAATTTTGCATTTAAGATAAAAAAACATTTTCGTCTATCAATATGCTCTATCCGGAACTCTTCAAGTGGTGATTTTTTTAGTTGCCCCTGGTTTAATTTCATAAGAAATCTTCTTTGAGGAATCTTCTGCTATCCTATTATTAATTGTTAAATCTAAAAATAATCAATCGATTAATTAATTTACAAAATAATCTTTAGTTGCAGCCCTAATATAAACGTTTGGCCTTTAAGATTACCGTAAAAGTGGAAGTGGAAAAGTTTTAGTTTCACCTGGTTTAATAAAAAAAAAAAAACATCTTTAAGGAACCTTTAGCTATCTGATTATTAATTGATTATTTGAAAATAAAAATCGACCAATTAATTGATTTACTAAATAATTGTTAGTTTCAGCCCTAAAACAAATTATGGAGCGGCTGTCAGGATTCAAAATCAGTTCAGAGAAGGACACCCAGTCAATAAATTTGCAAATGCAAACTGCTGCTGTTTCTGCCGGAAGGAACATTTGAGATTTGCACCGTTTTATCCAGAATGACAAACACAAGGTCGTGTTCAATAAAAAAAAAATAAAAATTAGTGCAAATGATAAATGACCATAGATAGTAGAATGTTTAGGAAGGTGTCACTTTTATTGCCTCCAGACGTCTATAGATCAACACACACGTCACTAATTAATGCAGTGTTCTTCTGTTTTCCATTTTAAACAAATTACCTGTATGCCATCTGTTATAAGCGAACAGAAAGTTGTTGATTAATCCTTCTAAGTCTGAATTAAAACCAACCTTTTGTTTTTTTTTTATTTTAATTTATTGGAAGTTCTTTTAAATGACAAATTGTGGAAAAAAAAAAGTTCTCAGACTGAAGGTTGGTTTCTTCTACATTATTCTTTTGAAGGTTATGCTGATTCAGTTTCTTTTAATGCTTTTTTCATTTTTGATGGTGTTGCTACTAGAGATAGACCGATACACCAGCCTGCTGTATTTTTTTGCCAATATTAGCACCTTTTATTGGATTGGTATCATTTTATTGGTGCATTCTTCAGAAATAAAGTGAAGCACATAAACTACTGCTTCCTCCTTCTGCCAACATTGTTAATATTTTCTTTGGTTTGTTAATAAATGTTTATTTTGGTTTAAATTGAGGTTTTTGTAAAATTTATCATTATGTCATTTTTATAGTTGAAAAAGATAAAGAAAATCAATATAAACCCTAAGGATTAGCCCAGAAATATCGGCAACACATATTGGAGATCGGTCAGACTGATGTCAAACTAATCAGTATTGGTGTCGGCCTTAAAACAGCTGTATCAGTCTTTAGTTGCTATTAATTATACAGACAGCTGCTATGAAGATGATGCCAGAATTAACCCGAGAGCACGAAGAATGAAAGCATTCAGTCTATTTTTGATTTTTTGTTTTTTTTATTTGAAAAATGATCACAAATATTTCATTTGTTTACCATCAGATTCTTGTCAAATCAAACCCATTTCTCACTAATTTATAGTAATGAATAAAAATGCATCCCTCTATTAAGTAACCTAAATAGGATCATATTGATATTATTCACTTCTATTACTTTTGGGTTTGCAGCATTTATTAGAAAAAAAAATCTCATTTGGCATCTGTTTGGATTTTACAAAAAGATTTGTATGTTTTTTGTAAAGTCTTTTATCACCAGTCGCTCAACATCCTGTATGGTTTCCAGCTATGTGCTCGGCTCTGGAGGCCACATGTTGGCAGCAGGGGGCCCCAAAGAGCAGCCTGTAACACTGGAGTACAGGCAAAGTGTTGAACATCAACTGTCAGAGGTAAATTACCACTTCTCTTTGTCTGCTTTACCTCCTTCATGTGGTCTGATTAGGATGGAAAAATGTCCTCAAATGAAATCAGCAGATTTCTCAACCTTAAAGTTCTGTTAAGATGAGCATTTAAGCATTCGAAGTGGATGTTTTAATGTTTTGTTTTAAAATTATAAAGATTCTGTCTTTGTTAAATGGTAATATCAATAATATGAAAAAATAGGAGACCTAACCAGCAAGTGGAAACAGTTTAATCAGGATTGGTCCTGATGGAGTTGTATCGCCCTTCTGATGGAGCGTCCTAAAAGCCCAGGTTGATTTACAGCATGAGGATGACATCAGCTTTGTTCCGGTAAACCCACTCCCCAGTAGCGGGCAGACTCTGATATCAGACATTACCTCATCTTATGACCCATGTCACCTCCCCAAAACACTTCCACCCCTTGCAAGGTTAATTTCTCTGCCCAAAAGATCAGAGTCCTGGATCTGATCTTACTTCAGTTTAAAATGATCTGCTTACTTTAGCTGTAAATATCTTTTAATGTTTTCTTATGTTTTTTTTTTGTTTGTTTTTTCTTCCACACAAGCTCTAACTGTGCATTGGTTCTCTGAATTGATCTTAATCACCCTTTGTTTAAGAAATGCCCTCCCAAAAACACAGAAGGGACATAGATTGTCCAGTAGGTGGCGGTAGTCTGCAGGAGTACTGCAAGCTCTGCTACACACGCTTATGGCAGGCTGTTTTGACATTTATTAGAAGCAATGTCCTCTCTATTGTTCCATTTGTTGATCTCTAAAATAAGATTTTTCCTTGTCAAAACTACTTTTCTACTGCCAGGAATGTACATATAGATATCCTAAATTACATTTTTGCTAGAAAAAATTACATTTCAGGCTGCCAAAAATATAATTGAACTAATTAACATTCAAATACCTAGAAATCTTTACAAATTTTTAGTTGCCCTTATGACATTTATTAGCTTGGCTAAAAATATATTTCAGATGTCCCAAATGCATTTCTTCCGAGTCAAAATGAACATTTCAGATATAGAAGATAACATTCTTCCCATCTAAAATATACATTTCAGATATCTGAAATGTAATACTTAATATTACAAATGACATCACATTTCCCATTCACGTGTATAGGGCTTGGGCGTCATGACGTAATTACTTTGCGTGGCCGCCATGTTGATGGCCTCCTTTACCGCTGCTCAGACTACTGCCTATGACTACCGCGTACTGTACTCCCTCTCAGCCGTGTTTTAATTTGATTAATTTCACCTTGACTTGATTTCAACCATGGTAAACCGTTGCTTTATTGTGGGCTGTAAAA